ATGCGCGGTTGCACGATCAGACGTCCCGTCGAGGTCCCGTGGTTAGGGGGGAGGTGCCGATCACACAACGTGACAAAGAAGCGGCGCGGGGCGTCAAACGGGGCTGTGTTTTGGTTTTAAACTGAAGTGTGCGCATGCGCCGTTGGATGCTTGTGCGCATCCCGTGGAGACTTGAAAAAAACCTTTTTGCATGTCGTACCCCACCCTCACCCACGAACCCCCTGCCTGCTCCATGACCTTTCCCTTGAGTCCCCGCATCATCGTCACGCCCCCCCGCCCCCGGCACTCATGCCTTGCCCAGGAGGTGATGCCGTGTTGCTCATCCCAGGAAGGTGCCGGGGGGAGGGGGCTGGCTAGTGCGAAGCTCTCTCTCCCCCTCCCCCACAACGACTCGTCTGCTCTTCTTTCCTCTTCATCTGAATTGCGCTAGAAGAGGACGGCGCTGCTGGGAAGGGAACCCCGGGGTGGGGTGGAGTGGGGGGGGACACACCTTTTTGTGAGAGGACATGGGCAGGCTCCGGATGCCACCGGAAATGCGATCAGACACCCACCCTTGCCCCGCGGTTACCGGAAACTAGTACCTCGGAGGTACTAGTTTTTAACTGTGCATCTTCGGAGGGAAGCCTCGGGTTCGCCATGGGAGCTCTACGCTTCCCAGATGTTGCGGTGTGATCGCGCCCAGAAAATCCGCCTATCATCCGTCTCAGTAGCGTGGCTACTGCTTCGTTTGACCGCAGCCTTAATTAGCTTTAATTTCAAGTAATGTTTATGGTATTGGGCTTTTTGCTGCTTACCTCTTTCCTGTCCCATATACTAGCACCAGCTAAAACTTAAACATTAATTCCACAGAAATTCAGAGTAGAGAAATTGTTGTTTGCTTTGAGTGTCTTTTAACAAGTAACAGTTCCTCCATCTTTCTCTTTCTCTCTTCAAACTATAGTTTTTGAGGGCTAAGCAAAGACATGGGCTCTACCAGCACAGACAGTGGCAGGAATAGGGATCTTCCCATTCATTCACCATCCAAGCAGGAGGCCTACTTCCATTTTGTTTAGCCTTGGGCCTGGCCTTGCTCACCTCTAGTGAAAACCGAGAGAATACGTAACGTCAGGTAAAAGGCTGCAGGTTGGCTAATGGACGAGCCCTTAGTGAGAGAGTTGGCAGGTAACACTGTGCTGTTTTGGAGGAGTGGTTGACTTGCTAGTGTTCTTCCTCTTTTTGTTTTTAAATTTTCTTATCACCATTTTGAGCTTTTGCTGTAACTTTTGAAAACTGTTTTATAAAACTGCCTAAAATGTTTTAAATAAACACCAAATTAAAAATATACCAGTAGGTTCCTTGCAAACTTGTTTGAGGTGGACAATTTTCCTAGTGCAACTTTTGGACTTGGAGGGAAACAGGATGCTAGGTTATATAGCCATTTGGTTTGATCCAGCATGGCTTTGTTGATGCACAGTGCTTAAACCTAGATTCAGGTGGGTAGCCATGTGGTCTGAAGCAGTAGAACAAAGTGTGAGTCCAGTGTGTCTGAGGAAGTGTGTGTACACACAAAAGCTCACACCTTGAATAAAACTTTGTTGGTTTTAAAGGTGCCAGTGGACTCAAACTTTGTTCTAGTGCTTAAACCTGTAAGTCTTAGCCAGGGCTCCCCCAAAACCTCTGAAGCACACAGGGGATCCTCAACAAATACATAAGGATTCTTTGACAAAACAAATGGATATTGAAAGAATTCCCTGAGGGTGGTAAGTTTTATAACTTCTGCAGTTTAGCATTACCTTTGTGTAACGGATAATATGAACATGAGTAGATCCAAGCAGTTTGCGATTCTAAAATCTTGGAAGAAAATCAGAGCTGCTAGCACTGATTCGTTTAGCCAACTGGCCTTTAATTCAATGCTATCCAAAGACTTAGAGCGTTCTTGTTTTCTCAATAACTTACTATTAAGATATTCCATTCCTGATTACCTCCTTAGCTCTTCAACAAATAACTCAGATCTCAGAGAATGGGTATTTAAGCATGATGCTCTGTTAGATAGATCCAAGCAGATGTGGGATGTGCACCAATCTGAATTATAGAAATTCCAGGAGAGGTTGTTTGGCAAGGGTGACAAGCAGGAATCCAGGTAGCAATTTGGGTAAATAAATTCAGTAGGTGTCCGGAAAGTAAAGCAGGACTGAGACAAATCAAGCAAGCTTAGACCCTCCATTTACACAGTTGAACCCGGGCACAAGATAAATGGTTGAGGGGCAACTATTGTTACAAGGCCCGGAGAGCTGGCTCCAAGGGGAGGAAGGAAGGCTCAGGGCTAGAGAGAGGAATGTCTGGAAGGCTGAATCTCTTGGATCATTCTATTTCACTAATGGGTTGAGTTCTCCAAAGGTTCTTTCTGTTAGACTGTTTTGAGACCAGACTACAGGGCGTTGTACTTTGGTTGGAGCAAAATGTCTTAGAATAATAGTTACAAAGCTGACTGCACCTGACTGAGTGAATTAGCAGGCCATGAAACAAGCATGATTAAAATTCAGCTATACAAAACGTCATCTATACCTGCCTTTCTCCTAGCCAATCTACTTTACTTTGACCTGCATCTCCCCCAACTGTGATCCTTTTGGGAAACAATTGTTTATAGACTAGGATGGGCAAGATTTTTCTAAGAGAGCAGGACAAGTGGGCTGTTCATGCTCCAAAGAATAGTAGAGCCTGGGCTGCAAAATGAAGGCAGAATGACCCTGGCAACAGGGCTATAATGTTATGTTTGTGGGGGTTTGATGAGAGAAACAGTTATGTTTCACATGCCCAAGACCTCTTATTTAATGAGATGTTTTACCTCTTGTTAGAGATATTATGCAGTCCCTGCTGTGTCCAGCCAAATACCCATGTGTATTGAATTCACAACTTGCCATATTGCGACAGCATAGGTGATATCGCCTCTGCATCTCATGTCTCATAGCGATTTCTAAGATGAGCTAAAAATGTCAAGATGAAATTGACAATTAGAGAGGTGGCATTTTTGGCTGCTATACGCCTATGGAACTTCCTCACCCTAGAGACTTGCTATTATCTCAGCAACTTTCATAGTGGCTTCACACATCACAAGATGTGGCATAAAGAAGATCTGCAGGTGACATCTGCTTCTACTTTTCACTCTCTTAGTATAACATCCAAAGGAAGAACTTGTTTTTAGATCACATGTGTCTTTACACTCAGGTGATGTGTGAATGGAATATGCACAGTTCCTTGCAGAAGAGTTTTGCAGATCCTCCTTTATACTAGAAACTTACAACATTGATTCTTGAGTCACTTGTGCATCGACTTTTTGCCACTTCTAATGCACACCAACCATCTCCAGTAGTATCTATTCAAACCTTATCAGTGTCAAGTCCTGGCTTCTCTTGGTTGGTCTGCCATGGGGTCGGGTTCTCCAGGATGTGATTTTTAGCCGGTTGCGACTGGTTGGCAAGCCTCAGATGTAGCTGGAGGAGGGGGGTTAATCACACCCAGGTCCCTCTCTCCAGCTCACGTGCTCTAGCAGTTGCTCCTTCTCTCTCTGTGTCACTCCATGTTCCCCTCTGAGAGCAATGTGCTCTTCCTCCCCGGCCGGCCTGAGCTACTTGGCTTACCTCAGCCTCCCAACCAACTCTTTTTCCTGTCCCCACCAATCCCCATCTTTTCCAAAAGGAGCAGAGGAGAGGACCTGCGCTTATGCCCAATAGGAGATGCCCCCACAGGACCTGCCTCTGTCGTGTACCCTCAGTGTCTGGTGGGGCTGCCGCTTCGCTGGGCCTTGCCCCCCTTCCGGGCCTCAATCCAACCATGTCCTCTGAAGAGTCTAGATGATCCCTGCCTCACTGAAGGATAGTCGGCACCCTGTGGTGTCTTCCTCCTCTGCTGGCCCGGGGCCTGCTTGGTCCACTAGGCCACCACCCAAGGCCAAGGCCTCAGGGCTCAGGTTGCCCCTTGTCATTCTGAGCCTGCCTTCCTGCCCAATTGCTTGGTCCACTAGGCCACCACCCAAGGCCGAGGCCTCAGGGCTCAGGTTCTGAGCCTGCCTTCCTGCCCAATCATCTGCCCAGGCAAAGCCAGGGCCCATTCTGCCTTCTCCTCTTTCTGGTGCCACAGGCTTGCCACCGGCTTGGACAGGACCTCGGTTCCCCTAGCCCCAGGTAAGTCGGGGGCTGTCAATCAGGGGAGAGGGGCTACAGTGGAGTCTGGGGCAGCCGTCAGCAGACAGTCAGGATTTGGGGAGAGCCAAGCAGACAGAGCTTTGAAAGCTTTTACCATTTATTATGTGTTAAAAATTGTATAATGGTAATGGGCTATTTTATATTTGCTTTTAACCTCCGTTTACCTACCCTGAGACTTTGAATAAGCAAAACTATACATTCAGTATTTTTTTCAAGTGGTAGATCAGAGTCCAACAGCCCCTTAGGCACCAGTAGGGTCTTTGAGGTTTAAGCTTTCAAGAGTCAAAGCTCCCTTCATCACATGCTTGTCTTTACATAATCTCCATTTCACCACTTTCCAACTAAGGGTCCTTATAAGGTTCAAATTCAGAGATGCAATTAAATATCCACAAGAATACCATTATGTCATATCTGCCAAGTCTGTCTGGTTTATATATGAAACTGGGCTGGGATGGTTATGGCATCAGAATTTACTTTTATTTTCAAGTCCGTGAAATTATTGGCTGTCCTACATATACTGAGTATGCTGCCGGGACTTAACTCTCAGTGCCATCCCAAGTATTACACAGTATGGCATTTCACAAAAAACACACAAAAGAATCCATATTTAAAAAGAACAGAATGACGGGACTTAACTCTCAGTGCCATCCCAAGCAGAGCTGCACCATTTTAAGTCAACTGAAGATAGTGGACTTAGAAGGCTGTTTAGGATTACACAGTATGGCATTTCACAAAAAACCAAAAGAATCCATATTTAAAAAGAGCAGAATGAAAATCCTGCATAATAGTGATACATATTTTTACTTTGTTCAACTGCAGATTGATTTGGAACCAGAAGGAAGAGTGTATGTCATCATAGATCTTTCAGGCTCATCAGGTGAAGGTAAGATAGCACAATTTTACTGTATTCACTCATAAACAGTAGATTTTTATTCTTGCCTGTCTAATTCAAGACAGAACTCTCCTCCCGTTTGCTATACAGAGATTCCTGGCAACCAGGAGTTCCCTGTGATGTGTACCTATATCTAATGTATATTTGTACTTATTATACATTATACTTTAACCTACTGAATGGGTTGATGCTGTACCACTGTTAAAGCTCAGTAACTATTGACCTGGACTGCGCCACATGTCACTGGATCCTGCACTATCATTGTAAGATAACAACTGGATTTTCCTGAAAATGTCATGCTACAGATGTGTTTTCATTGCACTTTGTATGGCTTTGAAATGAAAAGGGGGTACAGTGACATATATGAAAAGCATAGCTTGGTTGGTCCAGCAGAGAACTGATTTTTGCATTAGCTGTGATACTTTTAAATAAGTACGCTAGCAGGCAAGGTAAAGATTGTTGGAGCTACCGATTTAGGGAAACAGTGTCTAAAGGTGTATGGGTTTACAGAATGATGATAATGAAGTCATTACTGTCTTCTGTAAATCAGGAGACTTGAAAATCAAAGCCTTCGTGTTGGAAGACATCAATGTAATGGCTGATTAGCTAAAAACTGATGGCTCTAACAACATACCAATTACCCACTTTCCTAGACACAAGTCTGCTTTTTGCCTGAACAGAAACAGGCCAGATACTGTATTGTGTGTCTTCTCAGTAGTCTTTATAAGGACTAAACTGCTGGGGTGTGCTAAGAAGCTCAGAGTGCTTTTATTTTCTGGTTTGGGTGTGAGCTTAGTCTCTGCCTTTTTCCTGCTTAATGTGTACGGATGCTGTGCCTTTGAAAATAGGGTGTTTTCCATCTGGCACTACACAGTCTCCACTAGAAAGAGGAATGAGAGAGGATCAGAGAGAAATGTAACTTTCTGTGCTTTATCATGGTGGTGTTCAAAATGAATAATTACAGTACTTGAATAATTAGTAGTTCACAGAAGCACAAGCTGTGCTCAAAACTTGCTTTTAAAAAGTCTGTTTACTTCTCAGATTTGTGGTTAAATTCCCATCTTTTATCTTTTTAAAGGCCTGTATGGTTTTGTGTGTCCTGCTTTTTAAAACTGGGGAAAAAATCAAACTGGTGCACCCCACCCATACACAGAATACCTAACAGGTTTACAGTATAATCACAAGCAAAAGTATATATTTGAGCCCAGTGCAGCCAATGGGTTCAGAAGGTTTTGATTCCATTTAGGATTGCACTGTTGACAGGTTGGGGGAAACAAAATCTAATCTTTCCTTGTGGTTCAAGGTAGCTTATTCAAACCAACAAAGTAAACCCCATAACCTCCCTCTTCCCCTCCAACCTGCCCCCCTGCAGTTTGTATCCCATTAAAAGCTCTGGGAAATAAAACACTCTGGCTTGAAGTGCCTCCTGAAATTTCCAAAAGACAGCACCTCCCCCCCACTGCAGTTCTTTCCATGAAGTGGTATCTAGGATGCTCTGGTTGATGCCAGAAGGACTACCTGCAGTGGGTGAATGGTGAGTAAATGGCAGCCTGAAGCCCATAGTTGGCGCTACTAACATGCTGTTAATGATAGTGTATGATGTGGCATTTTAGTTCTTTTATGTCTTGCTCCAGAACTGACTGAATGTCTCCCATGTTTATTCAGAAACTGCCTTTTGAACATAGTTGATTCATATGTATAGGTTGCTGACATTTCTTTAAACAGTCTTTAATGATAGATACTGAAAGAGATTTATGTTGCTGTAGTAGCTATAACCTATTTAATCTGTATAACCCATTTTATAACCAGTTTTATGTATTAATCTGAAATATCCTGTCTTTCTTGTCTCACGAACACTCAAGGCCACTTAGAGTAATAGAAATAAATGCAATTGGTTGAAACCATAAAATGTAAATACGTAAAGTCAAGAACCTTAATATAACAGCAGCTATCTCTAAAACTAGCTAAAACAACAAATTGGTTAAGAATAGCCAAGAAATATCTGCAGCCAATGAATGGCATATTAACAATGCAATTCTAAACAGAGTTGCACCCTTGTAACCTCCATGGGCTTAGAAGGATTGCATTGTAAAGACCTCTCTTGCAAGGGACAAAAATCAGTGTTTTGGATAACAGACTGAACCTCTAGACCTCTTTGAATGAATCCTTAATAGTAGAGTTAGGCCGATTTGCATGTGGTCATTATCAGAGTGTCAAATAGTGAGTCAAGCTACAAACCAAATCTTAGTGAAACTGCAAAATCAATCATGGCAGTCTACCAGAACAGGCTATCCCCTTTCCAGCAGTGCCAGGGAATGCCTTGCCCAGGCCCGTAGCCCGCGTGGGGCCCATGGGGCCCAGCCCCCTCGCTGGTTTTGCGGGCCCCCTCCATCCTGATCCTTTGCCCCCCCCCCCCCGCCGCCTCCGGCACCCCGCAGGCTGCTGGGGCGTCTGCAAAATCAATCATGGCAGTCTACCAGAACAGGCTATCCCCTTTCCAGCAGTGCCAGGGAATGCCTTGCCTAGTGCATCCATCCACCATTCCCTGATACTGAAGATATTGGAGCAGCTGGTGGCTTTGTAGAGCTCCTGTACAAGATCCTTGTGTGAATACAGTTTCTTGGAATGGGAGGCCTGGGTGCCCTTCAGAGAAAGGTGTGTGTTCTAAGGAGGCATATGTAAGTCTGATTTGAAACTGGGGTTTGTTTAGGCAGATTTCATTCATGGCTGTGTTCCAAACTCCTCTACTGCACACTCAGTTCTGAACAAGCAACAAGCCATAACTCTGGCACAGCTGTTCTTGAAAAAGAGCAGTTTCTGTCCAGAGTTCTCTCAGCCCCACCTACCTCACAGGGTGTCTGTTGTGGGGAGGGGAAGGGAAAGGAGTTTGTAAGCCACTCTGAGACACCTTTTTTTAGCTCGGCCACGCCCCCAACGTCAGCAACGTCGCACGTCACTTCTGGTGATGTGCTGCCAGCGCGCGCGCCCAGCAACAACTCCCAGACCGCGGCGAGGCTCCCCTGCCGCGAGGGGTAAGTCCAGTTGGCAACCCTATTGGGTAGTGAAGGGCGGGGTATAAACCCAATCTCCTCTTCTCTTCTTCTTTTTAATGTTGGGAGATGCTGTGTATGTTCAGTTAACACTGAAGACAATGGGGTAGTCTGTACTTGATTATTTACTTAATACTGAAAATGTTAAACTCCCCATACTATCAAAAGAGGCCCAAGGTGGGGGTTGTGCTAAGCTCTTTATTTACCTAGGTGCTTCTGGGCCAATAAATGGGAAAATATGGCTTGATTTTTTAAAATGATGTCTCATATTCAGATTACTTCTCAGAATGGCTACAATTGGTGGAGACTGATCAGACATTGTTATCACCTTTACTTGATGTGAACTGAATTTGCAAGTGCCACTGCTCCTTCTTCTTTGCTGTCTTTGGTGCTGTTCTCTTTCTCAGCTTCAACCTCTCCTGATGGACGACTGTGTAGATGCAGAAATTCTCGTGCCTTTTCAACAGAATCAATTTTTTCTTTCCCATCCATAAATTTGAAGACTATACCTTTGGGTACGAAACATCTGTAGGGGATGTTTTTCTTTTGTAAAAATATCACCAAGTCTCTGTATTTCCTCCTCTTCCTTCTTATTTCAAATGGGATGTCCTTTAATACTTTTATTTCTTTGTCTTTGATCTTCAAGGTAGATCCATTTGTCGCTTTGAGAATTTGATCTATCACTTGTCTTCTAGAGAATCTTATAATCACTTTCCCAGGCAGATTTTTTTTTTCTTGTAAATTCTGGATATGATCTATAGATCATATCTATTTCGCTTTGTAAAGTATCCATTTTTATATCTGCCAGATGTCCTAATGCATCACACATAGTCTGTTTTAGATTCTCGGATTTTTCTTCAGCAACACCTTGAAATCTTAAGACATAGCTTGCTCTCTCCATTTGTAGCTGTAATAATTGAGACTCCTCCATCAATCTCTTTTTTCCCATCATCTGTAATTGTTTTTTAAGCTTTTTGGTGTTCGTATCCACTTCTTTTACTTCTTGTTCAGTTTTATCTGGGTTTTTTTGGCTATTTCAGTCAATTGCAATTGTTGTGCATCGAATTTGCTGTGCAGTGCTGTCACTTGTTCCAGCAGGGGTCGCAATGCTTCCGTCACCATCTTTTGTAACTCCGTAGTTGTGTCCTGTCTAGGGGCAGGACTTGCTGGACCAGCAGTTCTGACAAGAAGTTTTGGTTTTACTTGTTTGTCTTTCTCATCCTTCTTCATGGGCCCCATGTTTAAGATTGTTTACACATTATCCAAGTTATCACAATCTCTAATTCTCCCAGCTCAGCTTGGTAAGTTCTTAAATGCTTTTAATTTCAGTTTCTCTTGCTTCAATGGTCCACCCCCCTTCTTACGTGAATGCAGAGTTTGCTTAGTTTTTTCATATCGGGGGAGAGTCCCCCCCTCGCTTTTAAAGGGTGGGTTTCCACTTATATTTTTGGTGATTCTTGCTTAAACTCCAACTCATATTTCAACGCGAGATCTGCTTTTCTTTGCAAATCGCTCGGCCACCAAATGCTTGCTCTGGTGTGCGCTTCTAATTCCCATTCGGGACGCTCCGCGGCGGGACCTTCGGGGCATGGAGAAAGCCCCCCTTCACCAGCAGGGTCACTGGAGGAAGGGCCTTCTTGCACCCCATGGCTAGGAGCCTCCTACAGAGGCTCCATGGGTGGCACGGACAATCGCGCCCCCTCCTCACCGCGGGCTCTGGCAGTCCTCTCCCGGAGGATCGGGAGAAGCGACTACCATGGCGAACACCAAAAACCGGAAGTCCTCTCAAGAGCAGTTCTTAAAGAGCTCTTTCAGCCCCACCTGCCTCACAGGATGGGGAAGGGAAAGGAGATTGTAAGCCACTCTGAGACTCCAAGTGAAGGACGGGGTATAAATCCAGTCTCCTCCTCCTATTTATATTGTTTAGATACCCATTTGTTCTCAAATCTGCTGCTGCTGCTGAATGGCATAATTTCCCTTTTTTTGTTTTTGCCCTCACTATCCTAAACCTCATTTGCCTTCACTGCCATTTAATTTAATTGGCTGTGGCAACCTACAGCATTTTGTTTATGGGATGTCATCATGTCAGATCTAGATGTGTGGTGTTGCAAACAAAATCATGACAGCCATTTGTATTCAATCGCATTCGTGGAAAGTGGTGGTGGTGGAAAGTGCCGTCAAGTCACAGCTGACTTATGGCAACCCTGTAGGGTTTTCAAGGCAAAGAGACATTCAGAGGTGGTTTGCCATTGCCTGTCTCTGCGTCATGACCCTGGTGTTCCTTGGTGGTCTCTCATTCAAATACTACCCAGGGCCAACCATGCTTAGCTTCCAAGATCTGATGAGATCAGGCTAGTCTGGGCTATGCAGGCCAGGGCTCATGAGGCTAAAGTGGAAGGGGGAACAAAGCAGTGGCAAAGAAAACAGAATGCTATCATCACAATATAACTAAAATTTAGTAAGATGACTGTAGTTTAAATAATCACCTTGGCTGTATTGAATATGCAAATCTCAAAGATAACATCAAAATGAAAGATTATTAATTGTAGCTCTAGG